ACGTACCCACCCACATACACACTGTACCCACCCACCCACGTGCTTACCCACCCACATACACACTGTACCCACCACTCCATGGTAACGGTAATTCTCTTCATGAATTGTAGACTACCCAGATGGCCACAGCAGCTTCTGCTGTTGCCCTATTTTCCCATCGGACTGGTGTTGGCTCTCTTACGTGTCTTCATTGGACTCCATGTCTTCCTCATCTCCTGCCTTCTGCCCAGGAATTCTGTTCTCACAAGGTGAAACTTAAAAAAGAATGACCAGATGATTACTGAAATAATGTCATAGTATCATAGTTATAGTAACTGTTACATATAATATTTTGTGTCCTGCCTTCAGTATCAAGATGGTTTTAAATTAAACCAGTACTACAATTTCTACATCCTTGTTTTAAAATTTAGATTGACATCAAACAATTATGAAACAAAGCTTTCTAAATATTTTCCATCTTTCTTCATCACCCCAGGGTAGTCCTTAAGACCATGTGTGCAGTGTTGGGTATATTTGTTTCCTCTGATGGAGCAGACCAGGAGGACAACAGACCAAGGCTGCTTGTAGCCAATCATGTGACAGAACTGGACTACACAGCTGTGAACCTTGTACTTCCATGTGCCATGGTAAGAGCCATGCGTCATTCACATTGGTTCAAGAGAGTTTTGTGCATTTTATTGACCCTTTCTCCAGTGAAATTCAGCAAAGGATGTCTTTTTTTTTTGTCAGCCTGTAGGCTGATACTGGTGATGATGGGAATGTGTAAGTACTAGTAATTGTGCACATACACGTCACATGGGGGAGACGTGTTATCTTACAAGAATAAAAATGTTGTATACATGTTTATTTGTTTGTTTAGGCTCTCCATTAGTGTGAATTTCACACTATTATTCCTAGAGTGTGTAGTGAATCATCAGATTCTTTTTGCAAAAGGTGTGGTGGGTTCTTTAACATGCATGGGGTGTAATTCTCCCAAACATGGGACCACCTTTTAACACCCTTATCGAGGGACATTCCTAAGCAAAGCTCATTTTCACCTGAGTGAAGAAGTTATATATATGTTGATGTATAAAAATGATTTTCAGTGAGAATTACCATAAATTCTTGAAACTATTTCAGTCCTGCAGTGAGAATCTGCCCAGATGGCTGTCCTGGATGCTGGGACAGAAACATAGGGGTGAGACTAGGACACAGCTATCCCAGGATGCACAGCAGCACCTCAGCCAGGAAACACTACCCCTCATGTTCCAACCTGAGGAAGCTTGCACCAATAGTCAGAAAGGCCTGCTTAAGTTTAGGTACATTGTATTCCTATACCAAGTTTCATATATAAAATGTACTAGTACATATCAAGGAGAGAAAGATTGTGTCACATTTTCATGCACCAAAAAGGGCAATATACATGTCTGTAAATGGAAATTTTGAATATAAGCTATCATTTGAAGTTGTTTGGAATGTAAACCTGTCATGAGTGGTATGTTTGTATTTTGGGGAAGGTGAAGTCATGTGTAATCTGTGTTTCCAGCTACAGAATGTCAAACATATGTTTCTGTGTTTTTGCAGTTCCTTGCCATTTTCACTGGACCATTCAGCTGTCCAACCCATTGCCATTTCTGTCAGCCAGCCTCTCTTCAGTATTGGTGTGGTGGGTATACTGTTTGTACCAGCTTTCAGATCTGTCTGAGAAAAGGCATTGTACTAGATCTAGAGTCTACCTAGTTTGAGCATTGATGAGCTCAAACAATCTAATACTAGTATGTATAATGCCGTTTAACACTCAGTGATGGAAGTTTTTGCAATTTGTGTTTTGAAGTAATTCTTTTATATTATACAAATCGTAACGTTTCTTGAAATACAAGGATATATTCTTTTCTGTGGATATGTTTCCCTGAAAAGATAGATACTACTGAACCAATATATCATAAAACATTTTTTAGATCATTGAGGTATCCCATACTCAAACTCTTTTGTTTGTCTTCCAAAGTGCCTACTTGGGTCATCGTGGTGGGCTGATCTGTTTTGGTTTCTCTTTGTACCTGCTACAGTATTCAACATCAGGTAAATACAGCTAGTCATACACTTACAAAATTTTATAGGTTGTTGCAAGGTTGTAGTATAGAATATTGACAAAGAAAGTGGAAGATTAAAATGAATGTTTTATATTGGGATGATGAAGAATATTTCTGTCTCATTTAGAATGAAGACATTGAAAAAAATTTATTACATGAAGATGTAATACGGGATGAGACAAAAAAATACCATCGCAGCCTGAATTTTACATGGAAATGGAAGCTCTATAATTTTATTTAAAAATGCTTGGAAATGTCAATGCTTTTTCAGTAGACTTAATTCAGCTATGGTTTTGTAATAATTACAGCTTGAATGTATATTCTGTTCTTGAGCAGGTTCTTGCCATCCGTACATCGGGAGGAAGACACAGCAGAAGATTTCGCTAGAAAAACACAGCAGGTATAGCATGAGCTCATGGTTGACTATAAACTTTTTTGCACAATAAAGTTCTCTACAATAGTCATAGAATTTCTGAATCATGTATGCCAACAATAGCTACTCTATAGAGATGTTTGCTTCTGTGAGAAGGGCTTCAACAACAAGGGAACAAGTTAGTTTTAGAGTATGCAGCAAAACTTAGCAATCTGAGGACTTGTCCCTCACTGCAGGACAGCTTTGTGAATGAGAAGCTATGAAAAGCTAAGAAATGTATATGGCTAATGGCTAATGACTTTATTGATTTTCCTTTCCTTGGATGGTAGCATGGAGTGAAAGCTAATTTATTCCCTTGTGTTAGCTTTATTCTGTGATATGAGTTTTGTCAAACCATGCTGACATTGTTGTGTTTATATCCAAAGCAACCAGTGGTAGCTATGGGACTGAATGACGTCATAAGGGAACAGCTAGGATAGAATGACAAAAGCAATTTCTCCTCATTGTCCCCCATGCTGTTCTATTAAAGTCTATTTCACAAGTAGTTTCTCCACTGGGTTAACACTGCAACAGTAGCCTTTTTAATCCTACTCCTCTGACCTTTGAAATACTTTTTTATTTTTTTAAGGTGACAGGAAACTTTTTTATATGGCTATATTGAATCGAATGAATGAAAGATTTGTCAAGCCAACAACTAATTGCCCCCTATGGAATACCTCTTGGTTTGCCATTACTATTGTTAACATCAATGGGTTGATGATACAAAAGATTTTACCTCCTTTCACTTGCAAATTTTATTTCATCCTTGTGTAATAAGAAGATGTGAATGACGTCAATACATGTACCTACCACATAGTTTTAAAAAAATAGGCAGGAAAAATGTTGAGCAGATAAGATTTTGCCATATGATTTTATTTAGGACTATTATGAGAAGCACCATGTTGTGATACATTAAAAGGCTAACTATACTGTGAATGAAAACATGCATATGGCTGATGGCTTTGTTGATTTTTCCACTGTTTGTCACTAAAAAAAACAGGTGCTAGCAGCACATCTTGGAGTGGAAGCCACAAACATCACCAAAGCTGATGTGATGGAATACCTCAAGAGGATGTCACATCTGCCACAACCAGAGGGTACGGTATAGAGCCCCAGACATACATAAAATACAGAAAAAAAAGGAAAATACAACCTGACAGTGTCAAACCTTTTATCCCCTGTTGGTTAGATTTTATTTTCATTTTGTTTAAGTTCTGACTCATGGAATTTTGATGTAAGACATAAAGCCTTTTCAATCCAACTTTTTCATCCTTTGGAATACTTTGTTTTCGAAGGTAACTGGAAGATATCATGTGGCTATATTTAATGCATTTATTTATGATAAGCAGTTTGTGAGTTTCCCTATGCTTCTTTAACCACAGCTCTTAGCACACAAGCCACCAGAAGCCCAGGGGCCCGTCCCAAACAACCAACCCTGACTAACACAGGAGACAGAACACCTACAACAGGCAATGTCATATCCACCAGGAACTCAGGTACTACATGTACAACCAGGTCCAGTTTAACCAGCTGTTTAATTTTGACATAAATACTCTTGTCTTCAAGGATCCAGTTGTCTTTGTTGTTTTGAAATAAAATTTAATTGCACAATTTGCACTGGTACTTAGAATATTGTTCAGCACCAAGGACAGGGTTAGTAGTACCCCAAGAATTGAGTATTGGTAGTCTGAGTGTTGTTCAGCACCAAGGACAGAGCTCATAGTGCCCAGTATTGCCATGGTGATTTCTGCTGAACACAGGTGTATATTTGCCTGTAACAGGTGAGAGGAAGCTGCAGGTGATGGTGAGCCAGGTGAGGGAAGTGCTGCCCCAGGTGCCAGAAGAAATTGTGAGAAGGGACCTGAGTAAGTTCTAACCATCTACTCACTGAATTTATAGCATTTTACTAGTGCTTTATCATTGTTTCACAATGGGAGGTATGTAACTCTGCACTCCCTTCTCATAATTTTCAATGTTTATTGTAAAAGTGGTACAAAATTGTATTTACAGTAAGACATCTTACTTTTCATGTCCCATTGTCCCAATTTTTAGCGGAGACTGGTGATGTGGATGCTACCATTACAAACATCCTTGAGGGGAGGGTCAGGTATACCCCTGAGACACCCCCTCCAACACCAGAACAGGCCTCCAAACTCTCCTCTACCCCTCAGCAAGATGTTGGTGCAGCCCAAGTAAGTTCAAGCTTCTCATGTTTCCTTTACCTGGTATATTGCTACTCACCCATTGTTTGTTTTTCACATCTACTGACAGAGCAGACTATTCATCAGTGTTAGTTGAACTTTTTGACAAAGGCTTTGCACTGCAAATGCACATTATATAAGACCTGAGGCTGATGTAATTCAGGGGAAGGATATGTACAGATCTTTAAACTTAACATTCAGGTTTAATATTGTAGTAATAATGTTTTGTTTTTTTTACAAAAACCATGGTTTATGTGTTCTGGTACTTCTACAGATGGCCAGTCCTTTGGAGGTACCAAAGTTTGCAGGCGAGTTTAACAGATCACCTGACCAGAGGCACATGTCACTACAGGAGAGAAAGCAGGCCATGTATGATATTGCCAGAAGGTAATTTTTGCAGTCTTTTATCATTATGTCCTATGGCATTATGTCCAAAGTGTTCAGCACCAGGGTTATGGTAAGTAGTGCACCAGGAATAGAGTATTGGTAGTCAGAATGTTGTTCAGCACCAAGGACAGGGCACGTAGTGCACCAGGAATAGAGTATCAGTAGTTAGAATGTGGTTCAGCACCAAGGACAGGGTACGTAGTGCACCAGGAATAGAGTATCGGTAGTCCAAATGTTGTTCAGCACCAAGGACAGTGCTAATAGTGTGTCCGGAGTAGTTTTCTGGCAGTCCAGATGGTATTCAGCACCAAGAACAGGGTGAACAGTGCACCAGCAATAGAGTCCTGGTAGCCTGAATGTTATTCAGCACCAAGGACAGGGTTAGTAGTACACCAGCAATAAAGCACTGGTAGTCGGAATGTTGTTCAGCACCAAGGATAGGGTTAGTAGTGCACTAGCAATAGAGTCCTGGTAGTTGGAATGTTGTTCAGTACCAAGGACAGGGTTAGTAGTGCACCAGGAATGGAGTATTGGTAGTCTGAATGTTGTTCAGCACCAAGGGCAGGGTTGTTTCTATGAAAATAATTCAGTGCTCTCGAAGTATGGATTTTGCTTATCACTTGAGACACTAATTGTTGAATTGATACCTCTTCTTGACTAAAGAGAGGATAACCATTCCCTCTTCTTTGTTCTCCTTCCCCTATAGGAGGTATATGGAGAAACATGGACTCCAATGACAGCGTACCAGACTGTTGTGGAAATCAACATCAGTTTTTGGACAGACAAAAAAGAATGCTGGGTTGTGGAGAAAAATATTAGAATTAAAAATAATTGGAACATGAACATGACAATTGAAAACAAAAAAAGATGGATTTGAAGAAAAGGTTGCACCATTGACTTCAATAAAAATTTGTGCACCAATGTTATCACTCTTAATTCTTCTTTCTCCGTTCCTGTAACATAGTGCTTTTGGTCTTCCACTGTGTTTCGTAGTTCTGACACACAACTGTAGGCATGTAATGCTTACAAACTTGTTATGTAATGTCACAGTTCAGGTTATTGATGATAGATATTTTGACCCTATTCATACCAGACTTATATTTAGCGGTTTCAACCGGTTTTTCAAAAACCGGTTTTTATTTAACCTGGTGTGAACGCAAATTAACCGGTTTTTTAGGGGTTTAAATCCGATTTTGAAAAACCACCTCGGGAGGTGGTTTTTGAGGGGTTTTTGTGGGGTTTTTCCACCGAAAAACCTGGTCTGAACGCTAAGGGTTTATTGAACCGGTTTTTGCGTCATAATTCCGGGGTCACGGGGTCAGCATCCTGACCGTGTGCGACCTGCAAGCTTTTTTGATCGCGTTGTTTTGACCAACTTGAGTTAGTTTCCACTGTTTTTCCATGGTTTCTCTTCATTTTGCGATGGAATCAGCATATGCAACCTGGTCGGCGGACGAGACGCTCCTGATACTTAGGTTTGGAGAGCAGGAGTCGCCGAATTCGAAAAAGCTGGGGGGGGGGGCGAGGGCTCTACCGAAACAAAAATGTTGGAGGAGGCTGATTTCTTGAAGATAAAGGATCAGTGCCGCAAGTAAGGTAAAAAAAAAAAACTGAAGACGGCATACAAGTAAGAAGGCCAAGGACAACAATCGGAAGAGCGGGAGGAAGGGTTATTCAAACTGCAGTCATGGCCGATTACTAGTAATTGGATATTCACCGGACAGGATTTTTTAAAAACCGGTTATCAAAAGTCTGGTATGAACGCTAAGGGTTTTAGCCGGGTTTTTGAAAAACCGGTTGAAACCGCTAAATGTAAGTCTGGTATGAACAGGGTCTTTTTCACTCACTACTGTTGCACACTTTGATCCGTGCGTGAAGGAACCTTTTGATAAGAACGCAAACAAACTGAGGTAGATATCCTGTAAACAATTGACTATTTTGAAGAGTTCAGTTACGAGTTAAGGTAATGATTGTTAATCTAGATTTTGAATCAGGGTTCCAAGGGAAGTAAGAGGAGTTGTATATTTGACCATCCAGGTTTGTAGTTCATTTTTGGTGCCTACACGCATGAAATTATTTTCTTTGGTACTAGACATACAAGGCAACACAGTGAAAGTTGAGTTGTTGAAGTTTTCAGTATTTCTATGTAGGGAAGTTAGTATTATTTGCAGCGATCCATGATTTGAACATGTAAGATTGATATCATGCAGATTGTGTTTAGTACAGTTTCTATCATGGTAACAGTGCCTGAACTTGAACAGAGCTTGAGTGTTTGGCATCCTGTTGGATCAGGTAAAATTCTGCATACAAAAACTTATTTTTCTCTTTATTCATCATTTAATATCATATTGTACATGTAAGAGCAAAATGGTAATCATTGTGTATAAAGATTGTATCTAGTTTTGTGCAATCCATACAGTATTGTTGCTTGTTAAGTTAGTTTTAGAGAGGCAAGAAGACTGTAAGTTATACCCGCCATGCAGAAGTGTTATGGTTTTGTTAGCAATAACTAAATTGTTACCCAATATTTGACTTCATAAAGTAAGGTACAATTTTACCAAGTTCATGTCAGATCACAAAGAAAAGGAATGCAAAGTGTGACTTAACGTTATGGGAGTTTGAAGTACTAAATGTATTAAAAGAAAAACCTGGAAAAGTTTGTATCTACGTGTTGCACTGTTTCTTGTCATTCCAAATAGTTGTATCCCTGCCATTAAGGTTCTCTGTGCAAAAAGCCTATTGTTATGATTTTTTTTAATCCAGTGGTTGACAAATTTAAAAGTAACCCAAATCCTTGAGGGGGCACTAGGGAAATTATTGTCAATGAATGTTTTCACTACATTTTGTATCATGATGATGATTCCAGTATATAACGGAAGGATATGTTGTGCAGTCGTCTAATTGCTCCAAGGCACTTTCCATTTCATTAGTCCACCATTCTCATGTTTTAGATGGTACTTCCTTTGCACACTTCCTGTAAACAACACTGAAATTTCAATGATTTTAGAGCTGCAGGAAGACTGGCTGTAATCCTAGGAATGTGGCTCAACTCTGAATGATCTAATTAGGCATGTGGAACCACATCCTCACGATTACAGACTTACTACAATAGCTTATTGGCTGTAATTCAAATGTGTGTTTCAACAAGGTATTATATGTGTGAAGACTGGCATCATGTAACCACATCTTACTGCTGGAAATTTGGTGCCCTAGAAAGATGGCATGCTCCTGGCTTAAGCCCTTTGTTCTGGTGCACCATTGATTGAAGGCTCCCAGTGGTAAAACAACAATGAAGCAACGTGGGCTGGTCTGATGATCAAGCACAGATTTGAATTGTAAGTTTGTGTTAGAAGTTTGAATCCCAGCCTGCTCTTGGGAGTTCGTCAACCCCTCCTACTGGTAGAGGAGTAACAGTCCTGGGAGGATGGCCCAGGGGACGTCTACACCATGAGCACATTAAACCATATCCCTGACAGGGTGGCCTTTTGACTTTGTAACATGGTTGGGAACCAGTGACAAGGATATGATCGAATCCTGCACACATCAATGCAATCTAGCCATTGCAGTTAAATGAAATTTCTTTATTGTGAATAAAGAACATTATCATTGCAACATGAGGTTAGTAAGACCTAAAGATAAAACGGTACATAGTAATGCATTACTGACTTATGGAGAAATCTTTCTATTCCATCAACCATAATATCCTTAGGGTTATTCTGTTGTGAAAGATGGGGAGGGTCGTACAGCCCCTGCAGATCAATTAAAAAGTCTTCCCAGACCTGCCTAATTCTGAACACAGAAACCCTCAAATACCATGCTTGTCCTGTCCATGATTATTGTCCGTCTGGCATCTACATTTGCTAAAAGTATTTCATTGCAATTGGAGGGTGCCTTGTGAGCAGGTAATGCTGATAAAACTGTTGACAAAAAATGTGAACAGCCACACAAATGTTTCATAGGCGTCAGGTTGAAAAATTATATGACAGTCAATCTGTCCAAATAAACATCTGGACTGTGAACTACCGGTGTTTGATACCAATTTCTAAACAGCTAATAAACGGATGACCAATTCAGTTAGGAACAATATCATCACTGAGTACACAACTATTAACATAAACCTACATGAACTTTAAATGAATAAATAGCCCCAGGCTTGAAAGTAGCTATAGACATACTAGTATTATTTTACACATAGCATGTGTTCAAAGCATTGAGGAAAAGCACTTATACATTTATACAATCTATATCAATCTACTCCATTAAGTACATACTGTGAATTTCTTAATGTCTAGGTTATGATAACATATCTTGAGTTTATATTAATGTTATGAAGGAAGACAGTACAATGTACACAACAATTATGGCACAAAATCAAGCAAACCACTTTGTACACCCATCAAACTCTTTGAGTATCTGCATTTGCTGGTCAATAATGCATTTGGTTAGTCAGGGAAAATAGACAAGCTTGTCTAGCCCATATAAAATTTCACGTTTCAATCTTTTTTTGCAGGTAAATGTACATGTACATGTAAAATTATCCTTTGATCATGAGATTAGACTTGGAGAAAAAATCTGAACCTTTGTACATCTTCACTATTGCAAGATGTGGGGTGTGAAGATGTGGGGAATGTTGTTCTGTTGTACCTGCATAAACTGAACATGGCTGTTCATGAGTATTTTGAGTGGAGAGGGCAGGCCTTTACCTGATCAGAAACAAGTGATTTGAGATAACAAATCTGGTTTAAAATCAAAGAATTAAAGAAATGTTTCAATTTAGAAAGTATGCCTAAAGATGAGGATTATATGCCAGTCTTTGAAGCTGTCACTTTCTGCATCAAGTATAATTGCTTGGAATACATTATTACAGATCACATAATTCTATAACTTCTGTCCTAGTGGTTAAGCAACAGAATAAACATTCATACATGTAGACCTTTTTCAGCTTAATTGCCATTAATGCTTACTTTGAATAAGTAATCTGCATAGTACACACATGTACACTTAACTGTACACTTAACACACACACAAGTGCACATGGCCGTTGCATAATAGTCATTTAGTTCACACATCTAATGCTGGAATGTTAACGTTACATCAAAATCACCTCCATACCATACAATTTCTTGGCAATACACATGATAGAAATGACTACCACTACTGCTAAGTCTTCTCCTGAGATGCAAAAATATGCTGCTTCCAGCAGAAATTTTGTCGTCATTGTTCCTACCTGTACTTTTTTTTGTTTTCATGGACATGTAAAAGTCTCTCCACATCCAGTTTCTTGAAATGGCTAGTTCTAAGGAGTTGAGGATGAAGATCAGAGTTGGCTCACTCAATGTGGGCACCTTGAAGGGTCGTAGTAGTGAAGTTGTGGAGACACTCACAAGAAGGAGGGTTGACCTCTGTTGTCTGCAGGAAACCAGATGGGCTGGAGCCCTAGGAGCTAATCAAGCCCGTTTTGTCAAAGGAAAGGACTCACGTTACAAGTTCTTTTGGTGTGGAAATAAGCAAGGTCAAGGCGGAGTAGGCATCATGCTAGCTGAGAGATGGGTCGAGAATGTCTTCGAGGTCCAGCGCATCTCAGACAGGATTCTCCTGTTGAGACTTGGCATTGGCAAGTCCATTTTCACCTTCCTCTCCATCTATGCACCTCAGACCGGTCTTCCAGAAGCAGAGAAAGAGCGCTTCTACGACCAGTTGCAGTGCACCGTGGCCAAAATCCCTACCTCAGAAATCCTACTACCTATCGGGGACTGGAATGGTCATGTAGGTGAGGACGCTCGGGGGTTTGAGGCGGTCCATGGAGGTCATGGCTTTGGTGATCGTAACACAGAGGGGGAAAGAATACTGGAATTTGCCTTGGCAAATGACCTGCTCGTCGGCAATACCTTGTTTACCAAGAGGGAATCCCACCTTGTTACCTATACTTCTGGAAACCACAGGACTCAGATTGACTATGTCTTGTTCCGCCGGAGCTTCAGAAAGGCTGTCACAAACGTAAAAGTCATCCCGGGTGAGGAGTGCGCTCGGCAACACCAGCTACTAGTCTGTGACTTCGTGGTGTGTGCCCCTGTAGTCCACAAGCGTAAGTTCACACCCCGGCTGCGTACCTGGAAGCTGCGGGACCCCGCTGTTGCCAGTGAGTACCATGAGACTTTTGTGTCAATGGCTCAGACAACCAGTGATTCTGGGCTGCATGTGGAAGAGGCTTGGTCAAGGCTGAAGACCCCGCTTGTGGAAGCAGCTGCCAAAGTGTGTGGTTATAGCAAGAACCATCAGTGGAAACCAGAGACCTGGTGGTGGGATGACTGTGTTGACGAGGCTGTTTGCGAGAAAAGGGCAAGGTTCAAGGTCTACAAATCCCTCATGAGACAGGGTAAAACTGCGGAGGCGAAAGTCGCAAAAGTTGCCTACAACATAGCTAAGCGTCACGCTAAGCATGCCGTTTGGATGGCTAAATCTGCAGCTGAGAAAGAGACTTTTAGTGTCATCGATCCTCAGGGTGTGGATGTATACCGCGTCTCCAAGCAGATGGAGCGTGCGAACCAGGATGTTGTAGGGGAGATGTGTGTTCGCAATGACGCAGGTGAACTCTCGCTCAACGATGAGGACAAGATGAAGGCTTGGGTCGAGCACTACAGCAGACTCCTGAATGTGGAATTTGAGTGGCCGAAGGATGAACTCCCAGTGGCAGCCCCTGTAGTAGGGCCTCCCCCGCCAGTTACCACTGAGATGATCAGCTCTGCACTCAGCAAGATGAGGTGTGGAAAGGCTGTGGGCCCCTCTGGAATCAACGCTGAGATGCTAAAGGCTGCTGGTGAGGAGGGTGTTGAGTTGACCAGGCAGCTAGCAGAGACCGTCTTCAGTAGTGGAACTGTGCCCAGTGAGTGGGAGATGAGCTATATCATCAACCTCTACAAGGGAAAAGGCGAGGCTCTAGACCGAGGTAACTACAGGGGATTGAAGCTCACTGACCATGTCATGAAGCTGCTGGAACGTGTATTGGACTCAGCCATACGTAAGATGGTGAACATTGATGATCTGCAGTTTGCCTTTGTTCCTGGCAAAGGTACTACCGATGCCATCTTCATCGTGCGGCAGTTGCAAGAGAAGTTCATCAACGCGAAGAAGCCTCTGTATTTTGCCTTCGTTGATCTGGAGAAGGCTTTCGACCGTGTTCCCAGAGAGGTGCTGTGGTGGGCACTGAGAAGCCTTGGTGTTGAGGAGTGGGCAGTGAAGGTGATCCAGGCCATGTACACCAATGCCAGGAGCCGTGTGCGGGTGAACGGACAGTACAGCGAGGAGTTTGGAGTTGGAGTGGGTGTCCATCAGGGATCTGTCCTTAGCCCCCTGCTTTTCATCCTTGTTCTGGAAGCTCTGTCCCGTGAATTCCGCACTGGTCTGCCCTGGGAGCTCCTCTACGCCGATGATCTAGTAGTCATCGCAGACTCCCTGGAGGAATGCATCGCTAGGTTGAAGGCCTGGAAGCTGAACATGGAAAGTAAGGGTCTCCGGGTTAACATGAAGAAGACTAAGATCATGATTTCAGGTCAAGGTCTGAACATACTGAGGGACACTGGCTCCTTCCCGTGTGCTGTGTGCCGTTCAGGTGTTGGTGTGAACTCCATCCTCTGCACTGAATGTGACTTCTGGGTGCACAAGAAGTGTTGCGGCATTAGAGGTAGTCTGTCTGCTGTGCGGAACTACATATGCCCAAGGTGTCGTGGTGAGGCAAGACCACTGGATGCTCGCCCTGTAACACAAGTCACAGTGGATGAGGTGGTGCTGGATGTGGAACCCAGCTTCTGTTACCTTGGGGACATGCTCTGTGCGGGTGGTGGTTGTGAGCTAGCTGCCACCACCAGATGCTGCGTCGCCTGGGGAAAGTTCAAGAAGCTGCTGCCGATCCTAACCTCCAGGCACCTTTCCCTCAAAACCCGTGGCAAGGTGTTCAGCTCCTGTGTACGATCAGCCATGCTGCATGGGAGTGAGACATGGGCCCCTACTGCTCCAGAACTCCAACGGTTGCGCCGCAATGACAGATCCATGGTCAGATGGATCTGTGGTGTTAAACCTCAGGACATGACACCTTCTGCAACCTTGCTTGCTAAGCTTGGCCTGGAAGACATCAAGTCTGTTGTGCAGTCACGCCGCCTCCGATGGTACGGGCACGTTAAGCGTGCCAGTGGCTGCATCAACACCATCGTGGACTTCAAGTTGCCAGGCAGCAGAGGCCGCGGCAGGCCGAGAAAAACCTGGGTGGAGTGTCTCCAGAGGGATATTAAGGAGTGTGGTCTGTCTAGCACAGACCCACAGGACAGAGCCAGCTGGAGGCGAGGTGTCCAGAACAGCCGTCTGCTGCCCACCCCTGGGACAGGGAAACCGGCAGCAGAATAATCTAAACCAGGATAGTGAGTGAGTGAGTGAGTGACATGTGACCCACATACATTCCAATGAATGTGACTTTTCCCTTGGCAATGTGATGGCAGTAGTGTGCATGCATGAACTAAATGCTTGACTTCCAGGGTACTGGAACAGCCATGCACAGAACACCACACTACAGCTCTACTGAATCAGATATACATTTTTTTGTACTCTAGAGTAATGATGGTTGAAAAGTCAGACCAATTGCAAGAAACAAACACCAATGCAGTATAATATATGTGTGTACCTCAGCATTGCTTTGTTTCTGAGGTCGTGCATATCAGAATGAGACGTACAGTGAATATCTGAGTTTTCACAATCAACATGGAAACATGCTCCAGACGACATGTCTTTATATGCTGCATGTATAAGTTTGATAGAATGTCTAATGATAACATTTAATTTCTTAATAACATTCTTGACATTAATAATAATATATATCTAATGCTACAGTCTTATACCACATCTTTACACAAACTATGATATCTCATATATCAACAACATACGTGTACAACTCAGATGGAAATGAAAATAGAAAAATAAACACAGAGACTAGTGCACCTATTATAGGTCAATAATAAATAAAGAACAACAAACCTGTTCTAGCTGCTTTCCTGATAAAAAAAAACAACAACTCATACTGATGCAGAGCTACTATCTTTTTTCTATTGCAACGTAAATGTATGAAGTACTAAGTACATATTCAGAAACAGTCATATAACAAATAATAAATCTAATAATATCATTACAATATCTACAAAGAACCTGTCATGTATGTATCAAATCTAAAAACTACAGTTACATTAGCTGCTTTGTTGTCAATAATAGAATTTGCATGATTGAGGCTAAAAAAAATTGTGCAACAAATCTACAGATCACATTCAACTTTGCTCCTACTGATAAAAACTCTACATTATACATAAATACATAATACACTGTAGAAACTTCAGAAAAGCTGGACTATCATGGTTCAGCAGAACACACCAGGTCCTGAATGATATCATCAGTGACTTCTGCTCTGTGTACAAACCAACATGGAAAGCAATCGTTAAATCTGACCACCATTCTTTAGTCGATGTGTTGATGAGTATGTTAGAGAGGTGCTGAGTTAGGTCGACTTGGTGCCGGGGTTGGCAGCCCTTCTCTCCCTGAACAGTCTCAGGATGTACCCCTCCAGTGTCTTGACCTCGATGACCTCCACCTCTGTGGGAGAGTCCAGGTCTGTGAGAGAGGAGCAGCTGGACATGTCCCCCTCCTGCTCTGCGCCAGGCTGCGGCCCCACAGACTCGATGGGAGGCAGCTGCAGCTTCTGGTGCTTCAGGTCGTCCAGGAGCTCCGCACGGATCTTATTCAGCTGTCTGCCAAGAATCTTCAGCTCTGCCTTACCCATCCTGTTGTCAGCTAGAGAGGAATAAAGGGGAATCAAGACAATGTATCATAATGAGAAGGTAGTCAGAAGACATCAATGCAAAAGTACTACAAAAGTTTCTTGTCAATGGTTCCTGGGCCATACACATATCAATAAGTCCTAAAATTGTTTACATTTTTAATTCCTTTCAAAAAAATGATCAGTGGAAATCAGTGAACATGTACTTTTTTAAAATAATTTGTTTGTTTATTTGTTTCATGTCATAATCAATGATGAGGAACAATGTTACAGTCCATTAACAGACACTGTATGTACCAATGATGCTCACATTTTCCTGCCTTATTATTTAACACAGAAATATGTCAGACAACAAAATACCATGAAATCTGGTACATGTATACGAAGCTCCCCCTACCAGCTCATATCTCAACTACACATATAATCTTGACCAACAACCTGATTTCTGTCTCCAGATTGTCTCCTAGACATAGGCTTTACCTAAAATCAAAAGACTTAAATCTAAAGCCTCTTAGTTCCTGGACAAGTCCTGCACCATTAAAGTATCAATATATATTATTAACCTGACATCTTTAATGTGTAAGCCTGTCAATATCCTACCCCAGTGAAAAGCAGAAACATTTCTCCCACCTTTAGCCGACCCCATGACGTCAGAGATGCACTTTCTGAGGATCTGGTCAGCCTGGTGTAGCACATTCATGGAGCAGATCAGCCGACTCTGCTCCTGGGAAAACAAGTACAGGTACAAAAAATTTTATGTTGTGAACTTTATGAAATTAAAGTGTATAAATTAAAGTAAATACTATTAATATTACTATAGGATATAATAAAACATGTAACCATTCCAAGAAAAGAATGATATAACATACATGTATAGCAAGGACATATCTTTACAAAGATCATCACAAACTGCAGGGGCTATAGACCTGAAGAAATGACTTTACAACTGACAACCTTACAGCGGCTGTGCCGCCTCATTTTCCTTTCATGGCATAAAAACAAGGTACAACATGTATGAGACAGTTACTGTCTAAGTATTTTTTTCTGCCAAGAAACATGAAGAAATTGTTGAAACGTTCACTATTCTCACCTTTTCTTCCATGTTTTCTTCAGGGATGGCCAACACGGGATTGGCTATTGCTACTGCAACAAGCTCACGGATCTCCTCACTGAAAAGCATGGAGAAAAGAAATTCAATCAATACTAACAAAGTCAGCAGTGTGAATGGGAAATGTGATTGAGAGTAGCTTAAGGCATTATGCATCCGTACTGGCAGGTCAAGGAAACATGGCAGAATCCTGCTTTCAGTGTTGGTCCCTGGTAAAGACTCAGGGTGTTGTAAATGACTACCACAAAAAATGCATGGATCCCAATAAAGTCAAACATTTGTTTCATTCTTGACACTTAAGATAACAAAGCAACCCAGAAGCCCACTTTATGAGCAGTGATGTCTGGGGCCAGTAAGTGTGTATGTTGAGTAGCTGGTGAACTAGTCAGATGGTGAAGACACAAATAATGGATTGTTCAGCTAATATAGCGTCACCCCATACATGTACCGGTAATACTGAGCTTCTCAGATATATCTGTTTGGATACATAACAACAGTACTGTTTCTCAGTGTCTTTTATCATTATATAGTCTTGACACCAAGGCTAAGTGAATTATATACATATACAGACATATACAAATTCATAGTCAATTGCTTGGTGGAGTTAAGTCAATAACTGGGACCACTTTTACAAACAAGAAATGTCACATGCAAACATACTCCAGCTAGAAAATAAATTGACCTCAATTATATATACCTACTCATGCAGAATATTGAGAACTGCATGAATGATTGTGGAGAGGTATCTAGACACCTCGTTGTCCTTAGTAATTAGTTGGTATGAGGAAGTCACTTGTCCTGGTGTGTAATTATAACACTTCCCACATTTGTCTTTTTGATAACCATGGCTGCAAAACTACTCTCATTCTGGCACTTCAGAAATTATTGTTACATCTGACAGCAAGACTAACAATAAACAGAGAGTGACAGAAAATACAAACAGGGACCACTTTATAAAAGCCCATTTGTCATGCATGTATCTCACTATCTAAAAAGTCTAAATCAGTGTGCACAACAGTGTACATGACATGACGAGGATGGCTGTAGTAAAGCCTTCAACAATGTTTGCTTTACCACAGGCTATGCATAATGCCCTACATATATAGCACATGGTTAAAGTACATGGTTAATGATTCAATAAACATAATAGCCAATAGCAAGAGAAGTCCTGTAAATTATGGCAGACCAATATTGCTGGGTGATCGATTTCTGAAACCTATAAAACTGAGGATTTTCTAAACATAAAACCAAAAGATGTCAATTATGCATAGATTGCTAGAGCACTCTCGATGCAAAAACCAAGCTTCTATTACTAACAGTAACTGTTACAACATGTATGTCAGTTGCTTTCAATATGTTGCCCTGCAGTCCAGATTTTAACATCACAGTTCACATACGATATGCACACATGCACCATTATCAATACCTTCAGCATGGCCTTCAGACATGACTAATCAAGGTCAACAACTTGAAAAATTTTAGGGAAAAATTTTAGGTCTAAAGTAGTGACCTCTGATTTTGAACAACCTCAGACAAATCCATGCAACACATAACCCGTGTGTGTTCCCAGTGAACTGGCCCTGAAAACTCTCCGTACACAACATCAACTCAAACATCATACATACATTAATTACCTCCACACAGATTACAGTTTAATCCAAGTCTTACCAAGAAGAGCTGCATACAACTGTTACCAGTCCCAGTACCGCTGAACCACTGAACTTCACTCACTGCCAACAATCACAATGCTATTTACCCCACTGTTTGGCTTACACAAACATTTAGGTTTAGGGCATAAATTATAAATCACTGGGCAATGACAGCAAAATCAATGTTATGTAAGGATCGGTGATGCAGCTCAGTAGATGGTGTTTGGGGACCTATTAAGTCCATTTGGATTTGTACGGCTTTCATGGGCAAGTCTTTCTTAATGTACAGATGTGGAACATTGGTTACTGATAAATTGTCCTGTGCAAACCAGTTTATAACTGCACAGTGAAAGTAGTGCTATCAGAGCAGGTTGTTTAAGACAAACATGCATGGAACAATTTGATTTCTTAAAGTAACCATGAAGTAAAGTGCATGTAAAAAAGTTTTTTTTGGGGGGGGACGCGCTAACATCATGGAAAGTGTGTAGGCAGGAGATCCAACTTTCCAAGACCTGGTAAATCACTAATGCCTGCACCAAAAGGTTACATCCATCCTCAGAGACATCCCAGCTGTTGCCAAACCTGATGAAAAGCATCCTGTAAATTACTGGCTGTACCTGCATAGTTTCCATCAAACTTAAAAGCTGAGACTTTTTGTTATTGGGTGGGCCAACTTCTCTCAATTTGCAGTTAAAGGCTGAATTGTACGGAGCTTAAAATTTAGTCTACTATGAGTGAAATTGCATCTGAAATGTAAGAGTTAACACCAAAGATTTTGCTGATCATCATGCTTTACAAAGCCAGTCCTCGGACAACACAATTACATACAGAAATGCAGCTTGTTTCATTCAACACAATCTATCACATTTACAGACAACAGTACAGGCTTACCTGAGTTACCGTAGCTGAGTCCAGAACACACATGTATGTACAGAGGCCAGGCTTAACCTTCTCCACCCCGTAACAACGGAGCATTGGGCTTCTTCGGTGTGCTATTTAAGGTTAAAGATCTCAGCGCCTACATTAATCCCTTTCATCATAAACCCAAAGAGTCCATCAAGCTGACACCCATCCACCTGGGACCACAGTGCGCAATTACTGGGTTGATTATCTCCAGCCTATGCAACCCTTTGTCCCTTGACTTCATTTATGCACCGCCAGGCTGACTGGACTTTGATAATATAAGTCACCAGCTGGAATTCTGTAATTTCCAAGTCTGCAATTTCCTGCCATGCAGTATATTGTTGAGTTTTATAAATGCAGGTTGTGTAAACTGACTTAAAATCAGCAATCACTAATTTTATGAGAAGTTTTTGTCTTTGCTCTTGAGTGAAGTGAGAATTGGGTAGAATATTATGATATTTAGAATAGAATTGGGGAAAATACATAATTTTGAGTAACTTAGCACAGTAAAGGCTACAAATGATATCAGAAAAGATTGGGTTATTTGATAGACTTGGATGCCAACTGACTCGCTTCGGGGGTTGGGTTTGCAAGCTATCGGCCCGGGTTTGATACCCGACAGCCGCCTTTGTGTTTCTATCAATCTATGTGTTTCTGTACTGCTAATCCCTGATTGATTGAGTTAAAGTCACTGTTAATGGTCACATGTCCTAATGAGCTTAATATAAAGCTTTTACAGACAGCAAACTATGACATTTTTTCTTCTAAAACATACATTTACACACTTGTCAATATAACTATTTTGCGTTAACATGCTACTTCTACTTATTCTCACAAACAACTGGGAAAATATTGTAATCTCGGCTATACATAAGTTTAAAAAGCAACCGTGAACTTTGAGTGGACAGTTTAAAGTTTCAGTGATTAAAAACTTCTTTGCCTGTAATTCTAGTGTCTGCCAATACACATGTGCATGATGATAACAATAACAGAGCAATTAATCACTGAGTAGGTGCAAATACATATGGTTAATGGGTAGCACTGAATTTGACTGGCAGAACTTAAGGTCAACTATCGATAGCATGCTTGCTTTGAGCTGGGGTTGCCAGTTGCTAATCGGGGACTTTATCAGAACCATTTGCTCCTTCTGAGATATGGCTAATTAAGTACTCAGGGCTTCTCCATTTGAGTTACCAGTTCAAACCTTGGTACAAACATCTGTGTCTAGAGTTAACTTACAGTGCTGTCTCCTCATCTGTAGTAGTTGCCTGCTCATAATTGAATGACATCACTTCCCAGGAGTGCCTGTTGGGGTTGGGTGGTTCTATCTTTGTTGCCATGGCAACCACAGTCTCCCTAGCAACAGGACTTTGTCTTTCCATATTCCTCTTCAGAGCTGTTTCCACGTCACAGTGGAGGAAGACTTCGCAGAAGCCAATAGTATCTACAAATGGTGAAGGAAGAGGTATCAGTGATGTAACTTTATCACTTTCTTTACAGTGTGATGCTCTCAATTATCTTTTACAGAACTGTTATGACAACCAAGACTATCGCAAATTTCTGGACAATGAAGAAACACTTTGTTATGTTTCATGCTATAAAAGTACAAAAATAAGCAATAGCAAAATGTACATGAGAAGAGGTACAGAATGTGAGAACCTACATTTTCTAGCTAGTTGATAGTAGTGATATCTCATACTGCGGTAGTACATATTGTCATCTATGATCACTACAAGGGAAGACTGTCTCTCTAGATCTGCATTGTTGTCGCCCCCTCCTCTGCCATTTCTTTCTGCAAATTTGGCACACTTCAGGAACTTGGCATCTAAGTCTGGAAGGACGTCTGTAGAGTTCTCCTCTTCTGGCAAGCTCTTGGATTTCCTGAGTAACTTCTCTACATTATGGTGGATAGCTCTTCTGTGTTGTTTCCACAAACTGACGGCCTGTATGTGTTGACAAAAAAGTGCATCTTAAATCAAGAGACATACATGTATCCTTCAGCTTATATATTTACATTTTCTACATTTTTACTGTTCACAACAAGGGCCAACCCAAACCATATATGGCCTCCTTCAACCAAACAGCTACGACTATGACTGAACAGTCCTATGCGAGAATGACAGTCTCTGCCAGTGATACAAATGACATGGGGCACATTTGTGAGCTGATTCAGGTGTGTTGTAGAGATCTTTTCTCTGGGTCCACTTCTCTTCTGCGCAGTGCATCAGTCAAGTTTCCCCTGATTATAGCGTTGGGGTCGCTTGAGCTAGTGTGATTTACACTCAGTCTGGTTATCCCAAACATTTGTGGCTGGGCTGGTTACTGCTGATCATTATCCTCTCAAAATCCATGTCATATGTTTATCATATGATAAACTAACATTTACATTCAAACACTCATTGCTTACACAGCTGGAAAACACTTGTTGCACCTAATCCTCATAAAAATAAGTAATTAATTATTTAATAACAACAGATAAACAACAGTCAAGGATGCAAACATTGTACTCAACAGGTTGCTAATCCACCCTATGTTTTCCCCTTAATTGAATGCAGATAATAACATAAATTTTCAACCCTGGTTGCCCTTCTGCACGGAAGCTGTATGCGGCACTTTCCTAAATGGTAAACTTGAGGTGGGCGTGTCCATGCGGTAGCCGCTACAATAGTGAAAATTACATGTGTTCTTTATTGGAATAAAGTGACATCGAATCCCTTGATCTGTTTCAATCTAAAGCCATTATCTATCAAGCTGCCAGCTGCAATCAATTTTGCACATAAACGGTTTGATGGCATAAAATCATCTTCATAAATATTAACGTATCGACGACAGGAAAACGTACAATAAAATCCACTTGTGGAATGAGGATCGGTGCCTGAATATATATATAGTCCCCTTTGTCTTACCGACACTTATACACTGGTCTCATGTTGTTGTTTTTTAGTGCAATGATCAGCACCGTACGCTAAATATTATGGCATGCCACATACAGAATCTGTTGAGCCGGAATAAATTCAGACCTGTTGATCGCCGTTGCGATCCTCCCCTTCGTCTTCCTCCGGCCTTTCGAGCTTCAGGTCCTCCGGGATGAGCTCGTCGTAGCAGACGTGCACCACGGCCACCTCCGACTGCCAGGACTCCTGCAATTTTCGCGCCAGGCTGGTTTTCCCCGACCCTGGCAGCCCGGAGAGAACCAGAAGACAGAGCCGGCTCGCCATGGTCGATTGGACCCCCTTATAAATATACAAACAGCGCCATAGGATATCAGTTCGGCCGACGTAACGGTCAATATAATACCCTACGAAATATCAACTCGTGCGATTGGACACCGCACGCCGCCAGGGGTAGACCTTCCGGTAGATCAAAGGTATTTAGTTAGTAATGAAGCCCGGTGGGCCCCTTGACCCAACAATTTGTTTACAACATGGGCGCATCCATTTTGAATGTGGAATGATGGGTAAGCAATTTTTCGAGACTTCAAAATGCATTTCGTTGTAACTGTTTTGTACATTTTTGATTGAATTTTATAACCATATCGTGGAAAAATCATAACTTTGTGCTTTTATTGCCACTAGTTCACTTCAGGAAGTTGCTGGTGACCCGGTTTGACCCCTGGAATTAGACAAGCAACGGCCTGTGTGATTGGTCAGTTTCTGTCCACCTTGTTGTGTCAGATAGCAATCGCTTATGAACATTGTTGCGGTTATGTTTCATTAATATAAGTAAGATAGATAAATACCTGCTAGAAACCTTCAAAGAGATAGCTCTCATGGTATGTAAGGCAAGAAATGGAAGCAGCACTACAAGAGATACAGAATAGGACTTACCTCCATTGACCAATGAGAAAAGGGCTTTCATTCATCGAGTTTCGCCTTGGCGGAAGTGACGTCAAGGCCATGATGCTGCGTATCACATGTATCTGTCCGTATTGCACAAGCTCTTGAAAACTGCTCCAGAATTTGCCGGCTTTCTCCTCTCTCGGCAACAGAGGGGTACAGAACATCCACTGGAGAAGTAGGGTGTTCTTTTGTCAACCCTTTTATCATTTCAACGGAGTATTTCTGTCCGGAAAACGCGAATTGAAAGGGAAAATCTGCTGATACCTTCGCGCCAAAACCGGGCGTGCGTGCTCCAGTCAGCCAGACGTTACCAAAAAATTTGGTAAGTTCGGGGATTGTAAAATTCCAACAGACATGTCGGGGGACTCATCAGACCAAGCCGACAGGAATGTCGAGATATGGAAGATCAAGAAGCTTATCAAGAGTCTGGAAGCCGCGCGAGGGTGAGTCACCGTCAGTATGTTTTGTTGTCGGCCGTGTGCTCTTGTTCTGTGTTACCATGTCTGACATCATGGCCGCGCCGGTGGGGTAAGATTGCGCAACATGTGATATTATGATGTGTACAGTTCACACAAATGCGCTAAGTAGATATGGCGAAATAACACGGTCTTCACTGGTACCGAGTTTGCTGTCATCTAGAGAAAACCAGACACACGTGTAGGCACTGAATACATTACAACAGTTACATAGATGTTCAAGGACACAGTTAGGTACACGTTGCCCATAGATTTTATTTTGACCAGGAAGTGAGGCAGCAAATGAACAATATGTTAATGATCCTGGGCAGTTGATGATTTGTTGATAAATGTCCAACTGCTCCTTTTTATGTGAGGCAGGGCTTAGATGTCAAAGTTTGTTCAGTTTTAATGGTGAAACAGGTGTGGCAAATTATACTCTTATCCCAAAGGGCAGTTATACTGGAGTAATTTACATTCATGTACTGTTGTGGTTGTCCTTGTTTATCTGTATCACAAAATATGGTCCGGGTCTTTATGTGCTAGGATCCTCTGGGTTCTTGTCTGCCATAATGATTTCATGCATTACTCTTGTTGAGTATGGAAGTGCCTGCATGTTGCTATAATTTTTTTTCTAGAAGTAACATATCCATTACCAGTATTTCAGATTCACCCTCAGAAATCCTTAGTTAGAATGCCCCATTTTCACATCATTTTTTGAAAATGTGCCAGAGAAGGGGTAATGCACTGTTACCATTCTGAACTGTTACTTTTGTCGCATACTAGTATACTGAAGACACGAAAAAAAAAATTCATGAAATGATGAAGCAAAAGTTCACTGCAGAGTTTCAATTGGCACCCTTGAGTTACACTTTTCATGATCCAAGACTTAATGTAAGCCTAGAAATCAACAAGGATATAAGCCCAAAACTCACAAGGGGAGACAAAGTTGCTCCATTGCAAATTTTCGAGAATCACCAGCCTTCAGTGAATTGGTTTTGTCTGACATTGGTGCAATCATTAGGGACTGTCCTACCGGTAAACCGTAATCCTTTAAATCATATGTGCACTGACCTCTTCCATTTCTATGAGCAACACTGATTAGTATTCATGCATATTGTAATCTGGCAGTTGCCATACTTGGTAAGCTCTGATTTAGAGTCTGAACAGATGGGGAAGAGGCCAAGTGGTCTTCGTGTGTGTACATGCGTGTATGTGTGTGTGTCATTGTGTGTGCATATGCACTGTGTGTGTTTGTACATGCATGCGATGGTGAGAGACAGTATAAAGGGGTAGATCTAGTCAGAAAGATTACCCTCTGTGTTTCCATAAAATAAACATAGCCCATAATCCACCTCTAAAATTGCCCTTCCCAGCCATTGATGCTGTAACCTTTGCCAGCTGCCCCCCTATTATGTCCTGGTAGACAGGTTGATCCAGGGCTACCCAGCATGTCAGTCACAGCAATATACATCAGAAACTCCAGCATGAAGGGAATTTTGCAGGGAACCTGGGAACATGATTTTCTTGGTCTCCGATATACAACTACCTACAGTTGAATATGAATGTGACAAATGTGATTAACATCCTAGATTCAAAGGCTCTTCAGCGGCATATCAATGTAAGGTTCACAGTGTGGGATCAAGGTTTCCCTTATTTAGGGATCAGATCTGTATTTGTAGCTTTGGGACAGGTGCAGTTGGTGTACTGTGTAGTGTACTGTATACAGTCAGGTAGTAGTATAAATGATAATGCCTGTGTGACACCTCTAGCAGACACCAGGAAATCAAGAAAGCCTCAGATTTCATAAATGATTCATATTATTAGACTGGTACTGGAGCAGCTGTACTGGAGTTGCAGGAAACCAGGAAGGAAATTATGCTTTGAGAAAAGTAGCAGCTTTCACGTATTTGGGCAAAATTTCCCCTAGGTGGCATTTAACCCCTGTTGAGTAAAAGTTTTCACATGAGAAATAAGACTGTAAATGTATGATTGGATGACAGGTTTAAAAGGTCATACTGATAACAATATGGCACAACTGAGACTGAGAGTAATATTGGCATGGTCCATTATCTCCATGTAATCTAGTTGGCTTGAACCAGCCAAGCATGCAGACACATTTCCTGTACAACTTGGTGTATTGAAATATTTGTTATGATGTTCATATATTACTTAATCCTGATGGAATGCCTTATTGCTTTTGGCTTCTCTCTCTCTCTGTGTGTGTGTGTGCGCGCGTGCGTGCATGTGTGTGCGCGTGTGTATGTGTGCGTGCGTGCATGTGTGTTACCTTCTGTGATACATAGTGCAATGTTGCCTTACATCTTCTGTGCTGCTATCTTTAAATTATGGGTCAGGGAGAGTTGCCATACGATTATGAGTAAGAAGGTGAAGTCTGCCATGTCTGATTGCCTTGTTGCCCACTTGTTTCCCCCAGCAATGGAACCAGCATGATCTCCCTCATCATCCCTCCAAAGGACCAAATCTCACGAGTCTCCAAGATGTTGGCTGATGAATTTGGCACAGCTTCTAACATCAAGAGTCGGGTCAACAGGTGAACATCTAATATTCATGACTTTGATAATCTGAGTTTCTACCCTCATGGTAGGAATGATAATTATGAAGACTGCATAACACATGTTAGAAAGTCTAAAGGAATGTATATGTAGGATTTATAACGCTAGTATGGTTAATGTTATAGATTATACCTAGTATATACCTAGTATACCTAGATACAAGTTGTATCTAGTACTGTTAAGATATTCCCCTGAAGTCACTGCTCGTAAGGTAAAGACAACAGGTGTATCTTGGTCAATTAACAACTTTTTATCTACCCTTGTAGGTTGTCTGTGCTAGCAGCAATCACCTCTGTACAGCAAAGGCTCAAGCTGTATTCAAAAGGTAAGACTATTTCTGTTACTGTAGGTATTACATGAAACGTGATCTGCTGATATATAATTTTTTGTAAATTTTGTTAAGTTGGAGACATGTCTAGCAATTTTTTTTTCTTATAAATGTGCTTTGTGTGTGAAATTAAGTAATGTCATTCAATTCATTTCGTTTAGATTATTGACATGTAATGAATGTAATGTGATCAGCACAGAAAATATGATACAGTCTCAGTGCAAGTAAACTCTTCTCCCGCCAAACCAGTGCCCCCAAATGGCCTGGTGGTGTACTGTGGCACCATAGTGACAGACGAAGGCAAAGAGAAGAAAGTCAACATCGATTTCGAGCCATTCAAGCCCATCAACACCTCTCTGTACCTCTGTGACAACAAATTCCACACAGAAGTAAGTTACCTTACTGTGACTCACCATGAATGTTAAAATGTCTAGTATATCTCGTTATCTGCGACTTCTGATTGAGTCAGTGCCCATGCCTGTAGGCCTTGTCACTGTGCTAATTTTCTCAACATTCAATCAATGTCACCATGGTATTTTATTCGGGCACTTCAAGTTCTTTCCCCACAGAGTCAAAGTTATTCTTGGAGACTCTTGGTGTAAAGTTTGAAAATGTCTTTTTATTGTGTAAATTCAAGTATCAGCTTTTTCAAATCTTCTTGGCTTAGTGTGTGAACAGGCACAGAGAAATAACAGGTTATTCCTGAATGCAATCCTCTCTCTGATATTGTATCTTTTGCGTAAATAGCAATTAGAAATGTCTTACTCTTAAGTCTAATGTTCCTTATGATTCTATCTGCAGGCCTTGTCAGCACTGTTGACAGATGACAACAAGTTTGGCTTCATTGTGATGGACGGTAATGGGGCCCTGTTTGGTACACTATGTGGCAACACCAGGGAGGTCTTGCACAAGTTCACAGTCGACTTACCAAAGAAACACGGTCAGTCAAGTATGATTTCCATTTTCTTTAATGAAAGAAGTTAGTGTCTGAAGTAAGGTGTTTTTTCCTAAGTTTATTTTTCATTAGAGAAGACACAATGTTGTGTTTGTAATGACATACAGTACTTTTAAATACAATGTATGTTGTTTAAGACTACATTTAATGTTGTTGTTTGTTGCAGGCAGAGGAGGCCAGTCTGCGCTGCGTTTTGCCCGTCTGCGTATGGAGAAGCGGCACAACTACGTGCGGAAGGTAGCCGAGGTGGCGACCCAGCTGTTCATCACAAACGACAAACCAAACATCACAGGACTGATCCTAGCTGGGTCAGCAGACTTCAAAACAGAGCTCAGCCAATCAGACATGTTCGATCAGGTCAGTCCTGCTGTTTATGACATTGATGGCATCCAAATAGTGTCTCCAAAGGCAACTGCAAATCAGTTCCAAAGTTTGTGGAGCCAGAATACATATACGATTTGGAAATAGTGGTTGATTCTGTATTGGACAATTTCCCACAAATTTCTGTCTTGTTTTGTCTGCTTGTACACATCCTGTTTGCAGATTTTTATGATCATAAATTAAGGTTGATAACCCAGACCAGATTCACTCTAACTCTTCAAAAATGTCCACGTTTCTTAGACTTGTTTATCATTGTACTTCAGATAAATTTTTCGACATAGAAAAGGGTACTCATGTAAAGGCTTTAATGTTTAGAGGTGAACTCTTATCCAGGAAACTCTTATCCTTGCTTTCATCCGACTCCAATCTTTGGTTGTAGCGACTTCAAGTCAAGGTGCTGAAGCTGGTTGATGTGTCGTACGGAGGGGAAAACGGCTTCAACCAGGCCATCGAGCTGTCTGCCGAGGTTCTGTCCAATGTCAAGTTTATACAGGAGAAAAAACTCATAGGTAAGTCTTGCCTCAAGAACCTCAGATAATTAGAACTGTGAGTATGGCTGCATGTAGTTGCAGCGCCATTTGTAAATCTATCAGTACTTTTAACCCCACAATAGCACATCCTCAAGACAGCAATGCATATGATAATTTTTTAATGTTTATCATCAGGTATTCTGTGTTGAGTTGAATATACTTTATCTACATTGAACATGGGTACACTGACAGAAGTTATTGTCTTCTCCAGGCAAATATTTTGACGAGATCTCACAGGACACAGGGAAGTACTGTTTTGGAGTGGACGACACACTGAAAGCTCTAGAGATGGGAGCTGTGGAGACCCTTATTGTCTGGGAAAACTTGGACTATACAAGATACGTACTCAAGGACCATCAAAAAGATGGTAAGGGACTTCAACAGAATATACATGTACTACTACTGAGTAGTAGTTATAGGTAGAAACCCTACAAGTACTTTCCACTACTTGATATTTAATTTCTTTTAAAATGTTTTACAGAGGAGAAGCTCCTGTACTTGAGGCCAGAGCAGGAGAAGGACAAGACATATTTTACAGACAAAGATGTGAGTCACTCAACCCTTCTGTGTATACTATAACAATCAAGGTTTGGCATGACTGTATTTGCACATTAGAAGTTAGAAATGATGGTAGCTATGATTCTTTTTTTTTTTGGCACAGAAATCCCAATTAATTGTAATGATCTGTAGTACATTGTTTTGAAAGTCTGTTTCATGTTAATACTTTGTGTTGCAGACGGGAGTTGAGTTAGAATTGATGGAGTCTATGCCTCTGCTAGAGTGGTTCGCCAACAACTACAAAAAGTTCGGTGAGTCTAGATGTTCCAGTTATGTTGTGTGGTGTATTTGCATTCAGAGTCCATTTGCTCCCTTTCTCCTCCTTACTTGTACATATGTATATAGTCAATATAGATATATTCCCGTCTGTTGTCCAGTGACCAAGACTAACCACGACAATGTATTTCCATGCCTGTAGGTGCCACGCTGGAAATCATTACGGACCGATCACAAGAGGGCTCACAGTTCTGTAAGGGGTTCGGTGGAATAGGGGGTGAGTACAGGCTGTTCTTAATTGCAACTGCAGTTCTAGAACATACAGACAAAAGTGTGACTGACCCTTTTTATGGCTACAAAATAAAAAGCTCATATGACCTTCAGTATACATCTTCACAGGATTGGAGAGTTCATAATTTCATAATTTCCATTGTCATTTGTACATAATGTGCTGTACATTACTGCCTCTTCTCAGGTATCCTGCGCTACCGTGTTGACTTCCAGGGGATGGAATACCAGGGCGATGACTTTGACTTTGATGACCTTGACGACTACTAGATGTCAAAGGTCAAAGTGCAGTCCCACATGCATTGCTGTGCCTGACCTCTGAACCCAGGAATATGAAATATGCATAATTTGAGAGATTTAATTTTGTGCCTACATGTATCAATATTAACCTAGAGGGGACCTTGTAGGGACATGTTGGGATGTGGACATTGTTGGATTTGAGCCAATTTTTCCTTTGGATTGCAAAGATATTTCATGAAAAAAATCATTGCAGCTGTCAACCCCATACATGTGCCTACCCCTTCCCCTCAGGTTTTATAATGACAGGTACATGCTACATTATTAGTTGTCAATGGGTCCCTCTCAGCTAAGTTCAAGTGATAATTTTTCATTGAAATTATACAATTTCCTGCCAAACTTATTGTTACTAGTTAAACACTACAACAATACACATGTAGTCATTGTCCACAATGATCTTGGTAGGTAGAAAAAAGTTTTTTTTTTCTAACATAAGTCTCAGCGTCCTGTTTTAAAAGGCTCTACATTGGATCACTTTTCTGTATATACACTGTTGGTTATCCTGGTCTTATTTGACCTAATTAGGATGCAATGTTGTTACACACAATGTAGAAGGTTGTTTTATCGTTATTTGCTTACATGAGGAGGGTATGAGAACTTGAAATTTATTTCAGTTGGCAAATCTGTTGGCTTATTCAGAAATGCATATCAGATTCTTGTTGGGCCAGGAGAGGCCATAATTGATCAAACAGATACTCTCATTGATCGTTTGCAGCCATGGTGCAGACAGGTACAGATGTACATGTATGTAACAGCCCATGTACCTGGTATCTTTTGACCCTTGTGTAAAAATAACACCTTCTGTGTTACACATTTCTAACTTCTCTTCCAGACCGACAATGTATATTTGCGAGGTCAGTATTTTCTGTCCTGTTAAGGGATTTTTACCCCAAACTGGCCAAGGTCAATGTTGAATACAAAGATGCATCAACAGGGTGTTGTGGAATTTAAGTTTTCTAATTCCACTTAACAGCATATATTAGTAAGTTATGTTATGTGTCATTTATTATACACTTCTAAGTATGTATTCTGGCAGAACCAAAGGATGTTTTACGTATTGAAGTAAGTATATCGTGACATCACTTATTTTTTATCATTTTGTTCAGCATAGCATCATGAATGTAAAGGCAAAACCAGTCAAAATTTACCATCTTATACATCTCTGATGATCAAGAAGGGTTCTGAGAGCTTATACAGTTATCTAGATGTATGTGTTCTACATGTGCAGCCATCGCCTTTATTATATGGTTTTTCAGAAAAAGAAGGTTCTTTAAAGAATAACTGCAGTGGGGGACTTGAAACACAAGAATACCCTCACAGCTTTATCAAAGCTTTACTTTGGCCAACTTCATGACACCTCTGAACTTGTGCAAAAGAGGATTTGGGACATGCACACAGAAAGCAAACTCCGGTTTTCAACATATGCTGTTGACATTCTGACAATGCTCATTTTGTGTAAGTAAAATGGCAATGGTGATGTGAAAAGAGTGCAGCCCAGAGAATATTTGAAAGTAGTATGAAGCAGTTTGCCTTAGAAAGATGTCCCCTTATTGTAGATTGCTCCAAAGATTATTTTCCAGGCACACTTGTATCAGGTGTGTTGTTTATTATTCAACATAACGTTGAGAAAGCTTGTACAGTGTACCATGAGCCATGCCAATCTCCTTTTGTTTGATGGGTCTCTGGAAAAAAGTGATTGATGTAAATAGCAGAACAGGCACACACATTGTGTAAGTCCAAGTTTTGAAGAGGAAGATTTGTATAGCAGTGTTGGATTGGAGCATTGAGAAGTCACTAACACAGGCTGTATAGACTTACCTCTAAAAGCCTGCATGTGTAAGTTTCCATGTAATTTCAGTGGACACACTTCAAAGGAATTTTGATGTCCTGCCATCATTTCTAGTCTAGGACTATAATATCAAAGAGTAAGACGAGAGGAATATGTCTGAACTAAATCCCATCAAACAGATGATGACATTGGCGTGGCCTTAAGTGTTAAGGACATCACTGCTGCTTCTTGTCAGATAAAGTTTGAGTTGCTTAAAGAATGTACCAGGGAATGCTGATGCCAGTTGTAAGGGTCAAATATGTTTCTTTTGTTGGTATACTTAGGTAGCCTATTGGTATCTTTCTTTCCAAATCTCCAGTTCCAAGTGTTTCCAATCCACCCCTTCCCCACATCTTCATCAGTTCATCTTATTTGAAGACTTGTGTCTCTAAATTATACTAGTAGATAACTTGCTGCTGTGTCTTCTCCATTGTCCTAACATGAATAGATGTGTACTGTATTATTTACAGCTGCAACCATGCCAGATAAAGATCTCACATTTTGATATGAAACAGGGAACAATGTGAAAAAAAGAATCAATCTTGAGGTGGGTACTTTTGTAAGTATCGCTGAATCGCTTTTATTGGTTTAGAATGTAATAAGTTTCAACTTGTTGTGAGATAAGGCTTATGTCTAAAAGTTACATTTTTAAGTACTGTGACTGGATATGTGTCATGAAGTTGTGAATCAGGACATGTTTTGTGACCCTGATGAATATGAAGCACCTGATTTAACTGTGCAACTCAATTTTTGTATGATAAAATACGGCACCTGCAATCATTGGATTTCAATGCTAGGGAGTAGTTCCCAATGGCAGGTTGTTTCTAATCACATTTGTACGTTCTGTTGAGGGAAGGTACTCCACATGATGTTGATTGGAGGATGGTGACTGGCACGATTTGGCCGTGACATCTTGACATGGGCAAGAAATTTCTTAAATGATGGGAAATAAAAGGAGTGTACACAAGTACATAGGCTTCTCTGTTTTATTTTTTAGTGAATAATACTAATGCATGTACATGACATACATGTGTAGTCTTCTCAGTATGCTGTAGATGAGATGATTATATAATGTCCTTGATGTACGATCTAACAGAATTTGGTCATTACTGATTGGTTGGTACATTTCACTGGACCAATCAGTATGCACCATGTAACTTCAATGACACGTATGGAAAAATCATTTATGAAGATGCTCGCTGGGGGGCGCTTTTAAATTGCCTACGGCGTTGCAGTTCTAATTCAGTCCGCTATAAAATAGTGGCGTCTTTGTAACGTAACAAGCCAGAGCATCAAACAGGTGGTAAATCTCGGTTGACTTGAATGGGCGGACGGAGGCTTGCGAAAACGTTTGGAAATGTCATAAATTGATTGGTGTAAGTTATAGTCGACTCCCTGTTTTGTCTCATTTCCTGATCGGTGTGTGATATGTCGATTAGAACTCATTTTATTTGACTGAAGGAGTCACAAAATCATAGGAGTAAATTGTCGATTAATATTGAATAGAGTCTGCTTGGGCGTGATCTTGCAGCGCCTTACGGTAGATTTATGAGGACTGGTAACGCTTAAGTTAACGGTGAATTCAGGAAGTCGACAACGCCTAATTGTTAATTGACGTGAACCCTATCGTGTCGTACTACAATACATGTATACGGCACTGAAAGCGGAATATGGCAATTTAGTTCAAGCAAGCACTGAGATGAAGTCAAATCACAAGTTGTGATTTCGGTCAAAGTTGAAAGGACGTACCCGCGCAATAATGGGCCAACCATTCTGGAACGCACGTCGTTTCTGACGTCATATTCCATCTCCAAGCTTTGTTTGGAACCACCACGGTGCATCGAACCCGCGTTCTATTTCGGGGTTACCTGCGCCGGTCATTTACTATAAAGCGGGAAAACAAGCCTTTCTGCCTCCGTGCCTTGCAACAGATAAAAACAACACTTTTCTTTAGATACAAACAGTTTCCTGGGCAATACATGTCATTTTTTTGTGGACATGTAACATGTAGCGAAGCTACTGTCGTATCCTTGGGTGACCAAACTGAAACCAAATAACAAACCTAAATTCCGATCAAGGCTTCAAACGTGTCCTGTTCTTAAAGTAAACTTAAAAGAAATGTTTAATGACTCTTTATCTACTGTTCCTTAGCCAAGCATCAAGATAACTACTCCACTGCAATTTTTGAATGCAACAATTGGCTACCCTTCGAACTTTCATCACTTTATGACGTCACATACCATCTCCAACAACAAACTTACAAAGTTACAGACAGCGTTCCACTGCCTGGACACAGCGACAGACGTGCAACATGTGGCAAACACTACTCTCTGTGTTTACCTGCTGCCTGAATGCGAAGGTGAACAAAGTGTCACCAGGCGAGGAGAAGACTGAGGACGGACTGGCGGGTAAGACCATGGTCCGAGAGACCTTTACTTAAAACATATGAGTACGGAATGGAATCGGCTGACGGTGTAAAGCCATAAAGGAGACTGGCGGAATGAGTCCTGCGGGACTACCGTATGTGCCATGCAATAGAGTCAGTTTCGCACATGTACCTGTAAATTCATTCTTCAGTGCTACTATTCTGGGGAGTAGTATCATATACCCTTTTTTCGGCGATGGACGACACAATTAAAGCTGCTAATCTGCATGTTCACGATCACGTACATTGAAACGTCACTAGCAGTGTAGCACCCATGCGCCGGTGACAAAACTTCAGCCGTTCCCATGGACTGAACAGATAAAATGTGCTTCAGGATTTCAACTTTATTTCAGAACCGCCAGTGATTCCTATAACCAGTCCACCTGTCCCCGTGATGTCCCAGCCGCGGCCGGACAGATCTTCAGACGATATCCTGGCCGAGCTACGCGATGAGGGTGTGTTACCCGGCCTGAAGCGGCGTGACAATGCCGTCGCCTTCCAGGTGCCCACAGATAACCCCAGCACTCCCCCGCGCCACCAGGATAGGCTGAAGAAAATGGAGAGGCGACTAGAGGAGCGACGGGAGAAGGTGAAGAAAAGCTGCCCTGAGTCTCGTGGTGATCTGAAGAAGCAGCTTAGTGACGCGGAAGTTAGGAGACAGGTAAGGATATGGTTCGACTCTCGACTTGGCCAATGGCAGGGGTTGACATGGCACATTTGAACATCAGACGAGCACATCAGAGATTACTAGTATGGGGATGACGGACTAGGTGAATCGGATCGAATCAAAAGTAAGGGAAGCTATTTCGGGTACATTGTTGATCATCCTTTTTTTGTACGATCATTGCAGGAGCTGTTAGACGAGAAGACGGCCAGGATTTCGAAGAAGTTTGCCGAGAAAGCAGCTCAGATCAAGGCCAAGAGGAGGCGAGCAGGATGACCAGCACCGCATTTCTGATCACTGCAACCTCTGATTCCGACGTCATCGCCACTCGAGCATCCCAGAGAACCAAACAGCTTGAGAAGCG